AACCACCTCAGTGCCCTTCCAGTAAGAAACTGCTTAAATGAATCACGGTGCTGCCTTTAAAAAATAATGACGTAGGGTGTCAAAGGTGAGAGAAGAGTACTTTTCTAAGATTTTTTTGGGTCTGTTTAAATTTGACTTTATTTTTAGAATGGGTAAAAGGTATACATAGTTTAAAAATCAAAACAATACGAAAAGACGTGCATTGAGGAGTTTGGCTCCTGCTCTTGCCCCCCACTTCCACCCCCCTGCCTCCCTGCAGTTCCCATCGGTAACTGGTGATGGGCAGTCTCCATCCAGGGCGGCCCCTCCTGGATTCACACACGTGTATTCACTCCCTCCGTCACCGTCCGCTGCGTGACCGACAGCATAGAAAATAACGGTGGTGTGTCCCTTCTCCAGTGAAATTATCAGAAACACTGTGGCTGCTTTCTGGGAGCTCACTCTGGCTTCTTGAAGTCATGTCGGCTTCTCTCTAAGGGAAGCCGTGTTGGGAGCAGGCCTGTGGAGAGGCCCACATGCTGAGGAACTGTAGCCTTCGGCCAACCGCCAGGGAGGAACTGAGGCCAATGCACACACCAGTGAGCTCAGAAGCAGATCCGCCAGCTCCAGTGGAGCCTCGGGATCAATGCAGCCCCCAGGGGACCAGCTCGACTGCAGTCTCACGAGACACTCTGAGCCAGAACCTCCCCGCTGAGCCACTCCTGGCTTCCAGACCCTCAGAAACTGTGTGACATCACACATGTTGCCTTAAGCTGCTAAGTGTTGGCATAACTTGTTTCACAGCAATGGATAGCTAACATTCCATTTTATTTCCATTCCATTTGTGTTTCTTTAGGGGCTTCCCTGGTCGCTCAGCTGGTAAAAATCTGCCTGCAATGCGGGAACCCTGGGTTCGACCCCTGGGTTGGGAAGATCCCCTGGAGAAGGGAACGGCTACCCACTCCAGTATTCTGGCCTGGAGAATTTCGTGGACTATACAGTCCATGGGGTCACAAAGGATTGGACATGACTGAGCGATTTTCACTTTCACTTTTCTTTATGTGAATAAAAGCCAATACAAATATCTGTTTATATTTTTCCCCTTTCCTTAGGCACACACAAATGGCGCACTATGTACCACATTCTATGCCTTTTTTCCTTCATTCGATGATATTTACTGGAGATTTCTTCAAACTATTACATAGACAACTTGCTTATCTTATTTACAGCTGCGACTGTAGCCATGAAATTAAGACGCTTACTCCTTGGAAGGAAAGTTATGACCAACCTAGATAGCATATTGAAAAGCAGAGACATTACTTTGCCAACAAAGGTCCGTCTGGTCAAGGCTATGGTTTTTCCAGTAGTCATGTATGGATGTCATTCACTATCATCAGAACCCAGGCTGCCTCCAAAGATAGCTCTTCTCTACCAAAAACGGTGGGATTGTGTTACAGAGAAGAGCCAATTTTGACTCCATGTTGAATCTGTTATTTTTACTTTAACTTTTGCTTCCCACTGTTTTTGTTCACTAAAAGGATACTGTTGGCCTGCCTCAAGGAACCCTGCCCCTCTGCCTGAATGTTAAACCAAAATGATTTTGTGCATGACCCTGTCCACCTATGGATGACCTATGGAAGGAAGTTTAAAGAGAACTACCATATAACCCCGTAATTCTGCAGGAGGAGAAGGGGACGAGAGAGGATGAGATGGTTGGATGGCATCACCGACTCAATGGACATGAATTTGGGTGAACTCTGGGAGTTGGTGACGGACAGGGAGGCCTGGCGTGCTGTGGTTCATGGGGTCGCAAAGAGTCAGACATGACTGAGTGACTGAACTGAAAGCTGTGGTTTTTTCCAGTGGTCATGTACGGATGGGAGAGTTGGACCATAAAGAAGGCTGAGAGCCAAAGAATTGAAGCTTTCAAATTGTGGTGCTGGAGCAGACTCTTGAGAGTCCNCCTGGAGAAGGGATAGGCTGCCCACTCCAGTATTCTTGGGCTTCCCTGGTGGCTCAGTTGGTAAAGACTCTGCCTGCAATATGGGAGACCTGGGTTCGATCCCTGAGTTGGGAAGATCCCCTGGAGGAGGGCATGGCAACCCACTCCAGTATTCTTGGCTGGAGAATCCCCATGGACAGAGGAGCCTGGTGGGCTGCAGTCCACGGGGTCACAAAGAGTTGGACACGACTGAGCGCCTAAGCACAGCGTCTCACTGTGCAGAATATTTATTCAGCTTGTCTCCTGAGTAGTCGTGGACATCTGGGTTGTCTCCCACTTTTCATTATTACACGCGATGCTGCTGTGAATGACTTGAAAGTATATCTCTCCATATGGTGCCAGGGTATCTGCAGGAGAGGATCCCAGAAGTAAAGCTGCCAGGTCAAAGTTACATTTTGTACTTTAGGTAGATACTGCCAGATACTCCCTCAAAAGGGGACGTCTCCCCTTAGTATGTTTGAATTTTGAATCATGGGCCCGTTTTGTCTTTCAAATAATCTCTGCAGGTGACTGATGTTCCCCTGAGATTGAGAACTATCACTCTATTCTCCTGATCAGATGCCCCGAGTGGCTAAGAAGGGAAAAGGTTAAAAACCCAAATTCTCTACATGCTTTTAAAGCATGCACACAACAAAATTTCCAAACAGCTATTAGTACAAAAGCCCAGGAGAGCTCCCTGGGAGCTCCCAGGATCGTCTGCAGCCAATGGTGAGGATGCCCCCTGAGAACAGTGCTTTCAGGCTCAGCGGGCTCCCGATAGCGGAAAGCAGTGCCCCTCTGCCAAGTACAGATTCATCCGGCAAGAGCCTGGGGGGCCAATGACCTTTGAGGATCCCTGTGCAAAGACTCAATCACTCTTCAAAACTGCAGCCTGAGATGAAGCTACAGGGACAGGACAGGGCGTGGGGGATGCTCCAGAAAGAAGGGGCGTGCTCAGGAGGGCCTGTCTGCATTATGGCTTGACAAGGCTGGCCTGAAAGAGTTATAGCTATTGTATTACATTGGAAAATGGAGTATTCTTAATATAAATTCATGGTGAGGAAAAAAAAAAACCCGCTCACCTCCACAGCCAGCCGGCTGTCTATATTATGGATCACTCAATTGTATTTCCACTCAACACTACGTGAGGGATTACCCCAAGTCATCGAGAAATGTTCTGCATCAATAATGAGTCTAGGTTGTGCCCGGAGAAGTAAGTCATGTTCTGAGCAAAGAGCAAGGGCCAGCTCTGCTTTGACTCTCGTCTGCAGCTATAATTTTAGTTGATACAACGCTTTCCCACTGTTCAGATTTTGGCGGCCCTTCTGCCCAAACGAAGACAAAATTCCCTTCATGTTTGGAAGCTTACTTTAGAGTATAGCAACGCAGTGTAGCAGGGGAAAACATGGGATTTATTATCAGAAGATTACATTTTTAATCTGATGCTGTCACATATTAGCAACTGATGTTGGCAAGCCATTAATCTTCCCAAAGCATAGTTTCCCTGGCTGGTAAATGAGAATAACAACAGCTGCTTTAATTAACCCATAGGGTCGTTCTCAAGACTCCCCTCCAAGAAAAATACTGCAAAAATGCCTTAGAAAAAAGCGTATGGTCTGTGCCTGGCTATATAAGTGATTATGTGCTTTGGAGCATTCGTTTTAAAACCTCACTTCACAGCCACTGTAGAAATTCTGCTCCATCTGAAATGATGGTGTTGACTCTCAGAATTATGTTTGGTTCTTAGAAAAAGTCCCTTTCCATCTGTCCTCAGTATCAAGCTTTAACACATCAGCCTGGTTTTTACCGCCTGCTGTCACAGAAGCCGCCCCAGCCCCATGGGTGGTGGGGCCATTCTTCAGTTGCTCAGTCCTGTGACCTCAGGGTCACCCATGACTCTTCTGTCATATCCATGTGAAGATGGACTCTTTGTATTAGCCCATCAGCAAAGCTTGCAGGCTCTGCCTTCAAAGTCCAGCCATGGTCTGACCCTCTCGCCCGCCTGTCTGGGCCACCAGGGTCAGTGCAGTGACTCTTCCCACTCTCCCTGCTCCAGGCTTACCCATGTCCTGTTCTGTGCACAGTGGTCCTTTAAGAAAAAAGTCAGTCCGCGTGACTCCACTGCTCAGAACCCTCCAGTGACCCCTTCTGACTTAGATGCAACCACTGCGTGTGACTCCCACGAGATCTGTCCTGGCTCATCGCTTGCCTGGTCCCCTGATCTCCTTGCCTTTCCTGAAACCTGCCGCACCCACTCCTGCCACTGTTTGTGGATGCTGTACTTCCTTGGGTGTCATTCTTTCCAAACACCACGCGTTCACTTGTCTCTTTCTCCAGGGCTCTGCTCACTGTCACCTTCTCTGACATGGCGAGGAAAATAATCCCTCCGCATGCCCCAGATCAGCAGGCCCTCCCCATCCCCCTCATCCTGCTTTTCTCTGTAGCACCTTCTTCTGACATACACATTTGTCTGTTTTGCCCCTCTTTCCTTCCGCCCCTGCCACCACATGTAAGCTTCACAAAAGCAGAAACTTGGTTTTACTCATTGTTACGTCCCCAGAGACTGGAAGAGTGCCTGACTCAGAGAGAGGGGACTCATGAATTATTCCACAGCTCAGTGAACAAATGAATGAATGAATGGATGGATGGACGGATGACCGAAGTAGGACACATACATGCATACATAAGCGGATATGCAGATAATCATGGTTATCTAATAACCTGACATTATGTTTACATGATAATCAGTTATGTGGGACTTATTTTCTAATATTTATAGGCCATTTCTATCTCTCCTTTTCTAACTTGTCTTTCCTTGTCTTTTGTTCATTTTTCCTACAGAGATGATAGTATTATTTTATGTGCTCTTTATATATTAAGACAGTTTGCTCATAGACATGCTTTCTATTTTGAAATGTGCCCTGTAGGATAAAGTATTGCTTTCATTTAAGGTGTCTGAAATATCTTAAAAGATTAAAGAAGTCACTAATGTATGAATCATTTCCTTCTTCTGTTTCTTTGTTTCCACTTGGATTCTCAGAACTGGATGCTTGTGCTTTGGGCAAGCATGGTTGTGAACATTCATGTGTAAGCAGTGGAGACTCTTTCGTGTGCCGATGCTTTGAAGGGTATATACTCCGTGAAGATGGGAAGACCTGCAGAAGTAAGTTCTTATTGGAGTGTGTTCCCATTATTATGTCTGATCTCTGCCTGAAATCCACCAGCCTGATCTCTGTGTAAATCAGTTTCTCTCAAAAACTGTTGCCACAAGACCAGTAAATGTAATGTGGGATCCTAGATCAGAAAAAAACTGACATCAGGTTGAAAACTAAGAAAATGTAAATTAATTATGGGCTTTGTTTGATATTACTGTATCAGTATCAGTCCATTCATCATAACAAGCGTATCACACTAATATCAGATGTTAATACTAGTGGACTCTGGGTATGCGGTTTACAGGGAATCTGTGTACTATATTCTCAATTTTCCATAGATCTCAAACTGTCCTAAAAGAAAAAGAAAGCCTATTAAAAAGAAAACAAACAAATGGACATGTGACAGAAGTCAAAGCCAGAGCCACAACTGAAGGTGACATGCCCTGTGACAGGAACAAGAGGCTGGCGATGTGCTCTCCTGGAAGGATGTCCAGTCTGAAATCTGATTCTCTCAGCTTTTAGCGCTGCCATTAGTTAGCTAGGCAAGCTGCTTAACTTCTCTGAGCCTCTGCTTCTTTATCTTTAACAATATTGTTGCTACTGTTTCTGGTGGCACAAATCCCTCTTAGAGACCCCCTTTTGATGAGGCCATACCTACATCTCAGAAAGCAAGGTCTTTTCCATAGGGCCAAGACACATCTCCGTCAAGTCAAAGGGGAGTGGGTAACCCCGAGCAAGTGATTCCCACCCTTGTCAGTCATTTTCTCAAGCTTCTCAAAGTACTTTACAAAGAGAAACTCATATTGATGCATTTGAAGAAAAGATGGGTACCTGAAAGTATTACTCTCATTTTTCATAAAGGAAAGGTAAGCCTGCAGGAGGTTAAGTGATTCTCCAAAGTTACGTTGTCAGGGAAATACCTAAAACTAGATTTCAGCGTTACTAATCCAGATTGAGGTTTAATCTCCTAAGTAATCATACCAGCGCCCGCAGAAGGCGTTTTCAGGAGACACTGATGTAGGTGCTGGTAGAGGGCGGTGGCTGTGACAGTGAGGAAGCTCGGAGGGTGAACCCGAAGGAGAGCTGCTGAGCTCAGATGGCCGTGGAGTCCAGGGGCTGAGAAGGATGGATCCTCCCGGGTGAAGCCCAGGGAAAACTGACGTTGGTGAAGTGTTTAACTTTGCTGTCCTCAGGGAAAGATGTCTGCCAAGCAGTGGACCACGGCTGTGAGCATGCTTGTGTGAGCACTGGGGAGTCGTATGTCTGCAAGTGCATGGAGGGATTCCGGCTGGCCGAGGATGGGAGACGTTGCAGAAGTAAGTCGCTTCGACTCAGGACAGTTAGAGAGCTTCGTTTAGCGTTGGAAGTTTCCCGTTATAGTCAGTGTCACTATTCTAAGTTCCTGCCTTGGATGCTCTGAAACTGTTGTGCTCGTGATCAGTCCACTGGACCCGCAGCGCTTCAGGAATTTCTCAGCCAGAGTCCTGGGTTGTCAGGCTCTTCGCTGCTTTCACTTTCTCCCAGTTGTAGCCCCTTTCCACAGGAGTCGTGTGGATGCCCAGAGCCTCGCAGAGTGCCTGGCTAGTCATTGGAAGGGATTAGAATCTGGGTCAGCAATCGCAGTGAGGGTCAAAGCATAGTTGTAATGCTTTTGCTTCTTGGAAAACTTTGTAAGTAAGGGCAGAAGGTGAGAGAAGGGATGAAGGGTGTTTTTTTTGTTTTTTGGGGGGGGGTCTGGTTTATCCATTAACATTTACTTCTGTGGGTCACTCAGAACAGATTATGAGAGTTTTCTTAGAAGGTATATTGCTCAGGGTTCTCCAGAGAACCAATGAAATGTATGTTTGTGTGTGTGTACATACATGTGCGTGTGTGAATAGATGATAGATCAATAGATAAGGAATCTGCCAGGCAGGTTGGTGACCCAGGGAAGAGCTGATATTGCAGCTCTAATCTGAAGGCAGTTTGGAAGCAGAATTCCCTCGGGGGAAATTCAGTCTGTTTTTCTCTAAAAGTCTTCAAAATAGGACCCACCCATATTATGGAGGATAATCTGATTTACTCAAAGGCTCGTGCTTTAAATATTAGCTCATCTAAAGAAGTACCTTCACAGCAACATTTAGACCAGTGTTTTATGCGACAGCCAGGAGCCATAACCTAGCCAAGGTGACGCATAAAATGAACCATCACAGCCCCGAGAGGGAGAGAGAGGGACATGTGAGCTCAGTGAAGTGCGCCATAGACGAGCGTGGGGTCAGGATTTCCACCCCCTGTGAGATTCTGAGGTGTTAACCCCTACTTTGGGGGGGTCTTGACATGGTCTACTTGTTTTTGTGATACTCTGCTCCAGTTGGCAGGATGGTCCTTCTTTAGTTTAAAAAAAGAAAAAAACTCATCTGCTGTGGAGGTTGACTTGGGGGAATTTCATCACAGATTCCTGAGATAACTTGCGGCTTCCACAGGTCAACACAGAGGGGCAAAGGAGAACTCACTCCTCATTATGCCCCCAGGAGGAGGGGCTTTTCTGCCTGTAGCAGGAAGTTCTATTTGCAAGACTGATTCCTGGGATGCCCGTGGGTCCATGGCCTGACTCTGCGGGGCGCCCTTCACAAGGCTGTGTTTTGCCTTCATGTTGCGATGTCCTTCTGTGGGGACCACGGCTACAGTTCGGCCCGTTATGTCTGCCTGAGTCGTTCGTTCATGCTTCTGTTTTTGTAAGCATGGAACACATGTGTGCATCATTTCTACACTCAACATGCTTTTTTGCTCAATAGGGTGAGCTTATACAACTTGTACAACAGTAGGTTGAGGTTGTACAATTGTACACAAGGCTCAACTTCTTCCTCTGAAATTTGATTGCTAAATCAAATCCTCCCATTCCTCCTTCCAGAGGGATCTGTAAGTCACTGATTCCAATTTTGTAGGTAGCTTCTCGTCTTAGGGAGCTAATGACAGAAAGGAACCAGAGAACAGAAGGCTTTCATACGATGGAGGAGGACCACTCAGGACACTTCCTGACTCAGCCGTGTCCTTGAGGGGCTGTGTGACCTTGGGCCACACTGTCAAACTTTGTTTCTTCATGTATCCATTGGGNGAGGACCACTCAGGACACTTCCTGACTCAGCCGTGTCCTTGAGGGGCTGTGTGACCTTGGGCCACACTGTCAAACTTTGTTTCTTCATGTATCCATTGGGCATAACTACCCCTGCCCTCCTCTCTCCACGGGATGCTGTGAGGATTAAAGAGCTGTCCCTACTCTGAAGAGTCTGAAGTGCCTCACACATGAGAACTGTACATTAGACAATTGAAACTGGGATGTCTATGGGGGAAAATCAGTAGGGTGGGAAAATCAAACCTCAAAGTACATTGAACAATTCTAAAAATTATTAAGAAATCCAGGACACCTGATCACTCAGCTTACCATTCAGTTTCATGGAAACGAGAGATTTCTTAGAGGAGATTTCCTTTACCATGCCCTCTCCTGAGTATTAGACTGAAAGAGGGGATGTTATAGAGGAGGTTTGAATGGAGTTTTTAATGGTTTATTTCCATGATCTGCCCTGACATGACTGTTCAGTCCAGCTCATTTCTACACTGATGGGGTTGCTTCACTTCCTATATTCCCCTCAGGGAAGGATGTCTGCAAATCGACCCACCATGGCTGTGAACACATTTGTGTTAACCGTGGTAACTCCTACATCTGCAAATGCTCAAAGGGATTTATTCTAGCTGAGGATGGAAGACGGTGCAAAAGTAAGTGATCTGAACTGGGTTTTTTTGCTTTAATTTGGTTTGGGAGCAATTGTGTTTTTGGAGTATTTGCAGGAAGTAAATCCCTCACCTCTGCTTCTGCCATAGATATAAATGTGTATGCATAGACGAAGAATGGGGAAGAGAGCTTAACTGCATCTGTGAAAACACTTTTGGTTTCAGTTGACAGTAAGTTCACTGTCAGCTAAGAGGCTAGTGATCATAGCTGAATATCAGGAATGAGGGAGGTAAGATTTGTGCTCTTAAACTTAAAAAATAATATCTCTAAAGTGGCAGAAAAAGCCTTGAGTTATTTTATAATCTCAGAGTAGAGAACTTTCTAAACATGACATGAAACATTAAAAAAAAAAAAGGAATATGTATAATGAGAGATTAAAGCTACAGTACATTTTTTGCCTTTTAGTTATCAGAGTTCAGTAAGTTTGATGATTCCTTACGTTGGCAAAGGTATGTTGTAATAGGCAATTGTAAGTTTATCACTAGGTGTCTGAACTGGTACAGCTTCTAGGAGGGCAGTTTGGCAAATATTTTAAAGGCAGTTCCTGCCCCGTCCTGGTGTGTGAGTGATTCCCTGGCCCAGCAAAGGGGCCACGTTTCCAGAGCTCTGAAGACAGAGCGTAACACCCCAAAGTATGGCCTCATTTCCACTCTAGCCTCATTGGCTAGCAGCTGCCAAGAACAAAGGCCGCAGCTCCCAGTACCTGGCAAACAAATGCTGGATTGCCTCAGGAACTGATTGCTTCTCTTAGGTAACCCCCGCCCCCAGGGTATTTGGGGAGGAGCTTCGAGAACAAGCTGGGGAGTGGCTGTCCTTCTATGAGACTGGAGAGATTCCACGAAAGAATCTGGATGTCATGGAAGAGACAGTGGTTCAGGCAGAGGAAGCAGCTGGTGAGATTCCTAGAAAGCTGGAGAAACAGGAAAAGAAACACTTGAAGACGGAAAAGACTGGCTGCCATTGCCGTGGCATCATCAGAAAAAAGCAGTGTGAGGAGTGTGAGGGGACAAGTGAAAGACCCAAAGAAAAGCCAAAGCCTCAGAAGGCTCCTCAGGAGGATGGAATGGAAGACCCATCTGTCTCCTCCTCCAAACCCAAGAAAAAGAAACCTTTTTCCAAGAAGCAGCTGGTTAGTAGTGATCTTGAAGAGACAGCCAGCAGTGGAAATCTTTCCAAGTGGAAGAAGTCTTTCCCCAAAGAGGAACCAGTTAGTGACCCGAAAGAGTCAGGTAACAAGAGGGTCCCCAGGAAAAAAGAGGAAAAATTCTTTTCTAAGGGGAAGCCACTCCGTAGTGAACCTGAAGATGCTGCTGCCAGCAAGAGCAGTGACTCCAAGTGAAAGAAAAAGCTCTGAAAGCTATCCCAGGAAACATAGAATGGACATTTCCCTAGTGGGGTGTAACTTGCAGAGTTATTTCCCTAGTGGGCCATAACTTGTAGAGTTATTTCCCAACCATCCCCTAGAGCCCAATAAAAATAAAAACAAACTCACAAGAAAATAAATAAAGGAAGGCAGTTCCAGTTCTAGGAGTTTATGCCGCAAAGAAGTGCATGTGTTCACAAAACCACATATGAAGGAATATTTTGTGCAGTGTTATTTGTAGAGCAAAAATGGGAAATAAGTGCCTATTCATAAGATGCTGATTAAATAAATTATGGTGCATCTATACATTAGAATACTATACAGCTGATAAAAGGAATGAAGCAAAACTTGCCTGGTGGTCCAATGGGTAAGAATCCACCTGCCAATGCAAGGTCCACAGGTTCAATCCCTGGCCCAGTAGTAGGCTTCTACATGCTGCAGGGCAGCCAAGCCTGTGCATCACAACTGCTGAGCCCACTCGCTGCAACTGCTGAGGCCCGTGCTCCTAGAGCCTGTGCTCAGCAATAAGAGAAGCCACTGAAATGAGCAGCCCAGAGCCCCGCAACAAAGAATAGCTCCAGCTAGCCTCAACAAAGACCCAGCACAGCCAAGAATAAATAAATAAATATATAAAAAAGGAATGAAGCAGCTCTAAATATATCCTCAAGATATTTTAAGTGAAAAAAGCATGGTGTCGAGTGGTTTTTATAGTGCTACCATTGATGTATTTTGCAAAAGGCTCCCTCTAACATACTCTCTCAAGATAGACATCGCTATAGAGGTAGACATAGATAGAGAGATATAGATAACCTTTGTAGTGTTTGAACTTTGTTCCATGTGCATGTAATATATATATTTTTTTTTAATGAAAGTTAAAGGATAGAGACAAAAATCTAGAAACCATCATGGTGAGGAAGTTCAGTATGATGTCAAGTGAAAAATAAAGGAAGAAACTGGGGATCTATGTAGAAAAAAAAGACTCGAGGTACCTTTCAAATACCAAAGTGACAGTCACCTCATCCATTATTTATAGGACATCCCCCAAGCCCTGGGGAGAGAAATCCAGCTAGCCTCAACAAAGACCCAGCACAGCCAAGAATAAATAAATAAATATATAAAAAAGGAATGAAGCAGCTCTAAATATATCCTCAAGATATTTTAAGTGAAAAAAGCATGGTGTCGAGTGGATTTTATAGTGCTACCATTGATGTATTTTGCAAAAGGCTCCCTCTAACATACTCTCTCAAGATAGACATCGCTATAGAGGTAGACATATATAGAAAGATATAGATAACCTTTGTAGTGTTTGAACTTTGTTCCATGTGCATGTAATTTTTTTTTTTTAATGAAAGTTAAAGGATAGAGACAAAATCTAGAAACCATCATGGTGAGGAAGTTCAGTATGATGTCAAGTGAAAAATAAAGGAAGAAACTGGGGATCAATGTAGAAAAAAAAGACTCGAGGTACCTTTCAAATACCAAAGTGACAGTCACCTCATCCATTATTTATAGGACATCCCCCAAGCCCTGGGGAGAGAAAGGACATTGAAGAAAAGCCACAACTTGGTACAAGGACAAAGACACCTTGTCTCAGAGAAACTGTGTGATTAATTAGTTAAGATCATGAGCTTTGATCTTACGGATTTTCGTGGATTTGAACCCACTATTCCTACATTTGCATGACCTTGGAGAAATTATTTAAGTTCTCTGGGGTCTCAGTTTCTTTCTATAATATTAGGATAACACTTTACAGAATCGTCATAAGAAATACATGACACTGTGTGTTTACAGGTGTTTAGCTCAATGCTGGCACCTCCTCAGTGCCTGACAAATGATAGCCACTGTCATCCTCACCGCAGAGCTGTGAAAAGATGGGGCTTTGGTGGAAAGGCGGTGAGTTCCTTATCAGAAGAGGTGTTCAGGCCCTGGCTGAATGAATGGCTATGGAGATGCAGTAAAGATATGAACAACAGGGGGGGCTGGCCCAGTGACCTTTAAAGGTCTTGTCCAAACCCAAATTTCTGAAACTCTGTGAAAGTTGAGTTCAGAAAGCAAATCACAGCTCTGTTCCAGTCTCACTGACTTAACCACCAAAAGAAAACATCCAAGGAAAGCTTGAGCGACCTTCCTGTAAATAGGTAGCCAGCAAGCCGGGCTGTCATTAAAGTGAAAACATGGCACCTCCCGCCCTGGTGCTGTTCCACTCCACCTAGGATTCTTGTCTCCTGCTGGAGTCGTCTGCTCCGCTCCCTGCAGGGAGGCTGCAGGTGTTCGTTTTATTCTCTAAGAAAATAATATATGAGGGAAAGGAGAAAATAGATTCGCCGCTGAAAAATTATTCCACTATTTCTGAAATCTGCTAGAGAGCCAGGTGCACACTGCCTGAGATTCAGGCTATGAATGTAAATGAAGTTCTGAATTGGCCATTTCCTCTTTCACTAACAAGAGGTCAATAGGTTGAGTAATGAGGACAAGCGCTTAAATGAGGAAAGAAAGGAACCCAACTCTTACAACATATATACTCAATTATTTTAGCATGTTAGTCGAGCCAAGAATAGAAATATTTTTGCATGTGTGTGTCTTTACTTCCTACTATTGCTGTGCTTCACTTTCAAGTATTAGACAGCTGCCTTGAAATGTAAAAGAGAATGTTATATTGCATACTGTAGACTGTTTGAAATGAGATCATCCATTTGGGATCTGTAAATTTTTCTTATGCAGCCTTAAATAACAAAAAAGCTCTCTATACCCAGCTTGCTAACGTATTTGCATAAAACTTTTACTGTCAGCCATCTGAGGTGCCTGGAAAACGTCCATGTAGGTAAAGAATTCACAGTGATAATTCATTTTAAACTTCAAACGGTCAATGATGGGGCCCTGGCGGTCCAGTGGTTGGGACTCCTGCTGTCACTGCCAAGGGCCTGGGTTCGGTCACTGGTCAGCTAGGTAGGATCCCATGGGCTGTGCAACGGGGCCCAGAAATTTAAAAAAATGGTAAAGAGGGTACCTAGCGGTTGTACTACCAAATGGATACCATCCCCTTCGTGTATTTTGTCAACAAGCATTTATTGAACAACTCTTATGTGCCAGGTATCGGAAGTACAGAAATTGATGAGAAATGGCCCCTGCTGAGCAGGAACTGGTGGCCTGGAGGCGGGAGCTGACCCTCGGTTAGCCGGCTGCTGCACAGGGTGGAGCGCTGCGCGGAACACACGGGGCTGTGAACAGCGTGGGGAGGGGCTGTGTCTCGGTCACTCGCAGCCCCGCCTCGCTGACNGCTGACCCTCGGTTAGCCGGCTGCTGCACAGGGTGGAGCGCTGCGCGGAACACACGGGGCTGTGAACAGCGTGGGGAGGGGCTGTGTCTCGGTCACTCGCAGCCCCGCCTCGCTGACTGCCTTACACAAAGCAGGAGCTCAATAAACAGCTTTTGTTGACCAGATTAATCATGTGAGGGCTACACAGAGAGTAACGAACACAAGCTGGGTTACAGGGACATCTCCCTAGAAGATCGAGGTGACTGAGCTGAACTGGAAGAATCTCCAAGTCCGTTGTGTGTCGGATGCCAGCCCTGGGGTGATGTCACCCTCCTGGAGTAAACTTTTTGGAATCTTTTGGGGGTGCTATCAGACTCTGCAGGGTACTCTACACACAGTCCCTCCGAGGCCTGACTGCTGGTGATCTGGGGTACAATGTGGGTCTAGTTTCCAATTTGTGTATCTGCCATGTGTTTTTGCTTGTGGAAAATACTATTTTTAACAATTTGACAAGTCACACATCAAGGCAACTGTGAACATTATGGTTGTTTCTGACTCTTCCAACACTTTCTGTCTATCCTGTGTTACTATCTAAAGAATAAAGGTAGCTCTCCAAAATAGTTATGCCTCCAGTGGAAGCGTAATTTTCTTCTCCTCTTGTGCATAATGATTTTTTTTAATCATTTAACCATTACAACTTTCCTTTTATTCCCGTAGGATGCACTGAAGGCCCAGTTGACTTGGTTTTTGTGATCGATGGGTCCAAGAGCCTTGGGGAAGATAATTTTGAGATTGTGAAGCAGTTTGTCACTGGAATTATCGATTCCTTGGCGGTTTCTCCCAAAGCTGCTCGAGTAGGGCTGCTCCAGTATTCCACGCTGGTCCGCACAGAGTTCACCCTGAGAAACTTCAGCTCGGCCAAAGACATGAAGAAAGCCGTGGCCCACATGAAATACATGGGCAAGGGCTCTATGACCGGGCTGGCCCTGAAACATATGTTTGAGAGAAGTTTTACCCAAGTAGAAGGGGCCCGGCCTCTCTCCACACGGGTGCCCAGAGTGGCCATCGTCTTCACGGACGGACGGGCTCAGGACGACGTCTCCGAGTGGGCCAGTAAAGCCCAGGCCAATGGTAATATGGGATGCGGGTGTGTTTTACACCACTCAGGGTTCAGGTTTCGTAAACTCGCTTGGTGTTCACATTGGGGTCCAGGGGCGCATGGGAGTGAGATTGCTTGAGGGGACAGAGTGGCTTCCTGTCACCCCAGTTACACACCTTTACTAAACTGCCACCTAGTGGCCTTAAAGGGACCCCGCAGGAGTTAAAGGACGCGGGGAGAAGGCCAAAGTCTTGTGCACACAGGTCACACCTGAGCAATCGTCTCCTGTGATGATTTACCAGCCAGGCTGTGACCTCCAGAGCAGAGACTCAATCCTACATGTGTTGTTTAACCAGAAAAATAAACAATGCTTCCCAGACACTGGTCTGGTTGTTTTAGAATCACCCGAAGAACTGGATAGAAATAGATTCCTAGTAGGAGGAGCTCTTACCAATAGTTTTTTTAATTTTTAAAATTTTTATTGGAGTAATATACCTTTTTTTTTTTTAAGCAATGCTACCAGTGAACATACTGGGAGTGCAGTAGCCTTAAGGTAGTGAATAGTCTTGTGTTTGCAGGAGGCAAAAGTGAGCTTTTGAGAAAATCAAAATGTCAGACGAGATCATGACTCTTAAACTCTGTTGCTCAGTAAAGCTTAGCCTCTTTGAGGTCTGTCTGACTCCACGTATAATGCAGGGCGGACTTGAGGTTGCTTTAGATGTTTGACTATGTTGCTTTTGAGGTTTGACTATAGATGTCAAATGTGGCAGAGGAATATGGCTCTTGGCAAAAGAAACCCCAAAGCTGGGATGGTTGGTAGACAGCTTGAGGGGCAGTGTCTGGAATCCTTGGGAAGATGGGAAGACCTGAGGGTTGTGAAGCAGTTTGCTTCAACGCTGCTTTCTTTAAGAACCTGTCGACAGCACATTGCTTCAGCGGTTCCTATGAGGGGGAAAGTGTATGCACCAACTTTATGGACTCGGTGCCTCAGTCAGGCCTGGAATATACTACTTGTGTGATTAATCCTTGCTGAGTGAATGAACAAAGGATCAAAGTGCTGAAGTGCCACTGGCGAGTTCCGTTCCTCCTCAGAAAGTCTGGTTCACATCAACCTTCAGTCACCCTCTTTGTGAAGGGGGCCATTTTACTGATATTGCTTATTTCACTCTTTATTTTTTCTGAGCCCCCAAAGCACAGGAGCCCCCAAAAGTGTCCTGCCTGAATCAGCTGGGTAGATGGTAAAACTGGCTGCTCACACCTGGTTTCCCTGCTTCTGGACTAGCTTAGCTGAGCTCATGTCAAACCCACCAACCCCTCTAGCCTGCATTCTTAGAATGTACTGGGGCAACACCTTGTCTCCAAAGACAGTGGTTAGTCCTTTTATTTATCTCATGGAAGCCAACCTACCTTACTCTCTCCCCGACTCAAATTTCCACAAATCCTCCAAAGGGGGTGGTGGGAGAAACAAATATATGCTTGGTTCTTGAATCAACACGACTTACCTGAAGTGACTTCCTCTGATTAATTATTCCTATGTATAATGAACACAATTTTAAAATAGTGGTTATCCTTTTTAGGAGACTGTGCGTAAAGTCACTGGGCTCTCAAACAAATATGCTGAACTTGGCTGTTGACCTTACATAGACTTTAGAATGAGGCACAATTCTTGCCTTTGACTTAAAGAGCCATTTTTATGCTTATTTTTTAAAAAAATTTAGTTTAATGATTTAGCCAGAGTAAGATATCTGCTGCAAAATGTTGAAAATCAAGCAGAACTTAAGTTCTTATTAATGTTTAGTTTTCAAATGAAGAGGATACTGGAGAAGGGAATCTAATGATTAATTTTGTTTATAAAAACTTTTGGAACAATCTCATATGCCTGTTGAAATCTAGAGTTGATACTTGTGTTTGTTCTTTTCTTTTTTTTTTTACATAGGGAATTTCCAGTGGTCTGCAGATTCTCCTTTTCAGCTTAGCACCTTCTTACAAGGCTTTATCCTCCCAAGAGGGGTGGGCAGAATAGTTTCATTTGGCTGCAGGTCACTTAAGGTTACTATCACACAAGTTACTATCTTTGACAAGCAGAAACTAGGTTACAAGGTCATAAAATGACCCATTTCTTAGAATTCTCCCAGAAGAGATTCTTATTTAGTAAGCCATGAGATAGTGTTCTTTTTCACTTTATCCACAGGACTAATTCAGGGAAAGTTGAAGATGCGCTAATGAGCTTGTCCAGAGCTGAGCAGGCTGGTGGTGTAGTTCCCCAGCCTCTCAGTGCCTCACTTTCCTCTCCTGGATCACTGTCTTTTGCTCACTAGGCCAAAATAAAACTGGGGGAAAAGAAAGGGAGCTGACGTGGATGCCCCGCATCACACCGATTATTAGTATCTAGCTGGCTCCGAGTGCAGAACACACAACTTCCAGATGTTGGGAATACAACTCTCACTAATGTGTTGTTTTTTTTTTTTTTAAGTTGGCTTACAACGTGTATTAGTTTCAGGGGTACAGCAAAGTGATTCAGATCATACAGACATATTTTATATATGTGTGTGTGTATATAAAACAGACAATAAGGTCCTACTGTATAGCACAAGGATCTATGTGCAGTATCTTCAGGCTCTTCTCCATTATACAAGATATCGACCACAGCTCCCTGTGCTACAGTAGGGCCTCGCCGTCTGCTGTGTATATAGTATGTGTACCTGTTATGTGCCCGCGCTCCTGTTACCCCTCCCTTTGGCAGCCCCACATTGGTCCCTGTGCCTGTGTAACCGCCCCGTTCTTCATTTGCTTTGCACCTTAGGGATAACTATGTATGCTGTTGGGGTGGGGAAAGCCATCGAGGAGGAACTGCGAGAGATCGCCTCTGAGCCCACAGAAAAGCACCTCTTCTATGCGGAAGACTTCAGCACGATGGGCGAGATAAGTGCCAAACTGCAGAAGGGCATATGTGAAGGTACTGCAGGTGGCGTCTAGGGGAGACCTTAGCAGACAGAGCAGCGTGAACCCTTGGACGGGAAATTCTCAATCCGTTCCTTCAAAGTGCTCAGAACAGTGCCTCCCTCGTGGGCAGGGCCAGTGCTGTCTGGAAACAGTAAGCACAAAAAGCAGAATAGGGGAGAGAGAAGACAATAATAGCTCACACTGAAAATGAAAGTATTAGTCACTCAGTCGTGTCCGACTCTCTGAGACCCCCATGGACTGCAGCACTCCAGGCTTCCTTGTCCTTCACTATCTCCCAGAGCTTGCTCAAACTCATGTCCATTGAGTTGGTGATGTCATCCAACCATCTCATCCTCTGTCGTCCCCTTCTCCTCCCGCCTTCATCTTTCCCAGGATCAGGGTCTTTTCCAATGAGTCGGCTCTTTGCAGCAGGTGGCCAAAGTATTGAAGCTTCAGCTTCAGCATCAGTCCTTCCAATGAATATTCAGGATTATTTCCTTTAGGGTTGACTGGTTTGACCTTGCTGTCCAAGGGACTCTCAAGATACTATACTTATTAGCTATTATTAATAGCTAATAATAACGCTAATAAATTGCTTGAGCATTTGGTCTGTGCTGGGCAGTGTAGTCAGTGTTTTAACACACGGCATACTTAATCCTTACAAAAACCCTATGGAGATGATCATGTAACTACAACCAACCATTATATAAATCAGGAAAGCTGATGCATAATTTCAGGATACACCAGTAATTAGAGTGGGAAGGGATGGTAGTCCTTCCAAGCCCACTGATAAAAATTTTAAAAATGCCTCTTGCATGGACTGCTTCAGTTCACAGAACACCAGACTGCCCTTTGGAACGTAGATGTTCTTGTGTATAGGAGCCCCTGGTGCTTTTCTCCGGTTCACCGTTGTGCCGGTGTGCTTATATAGAGCAGTTCTTCCAGGTTTGTCTGACTCCATGTATAATGCAGGGGGACCGGAAAAGCAGTTCTGCCCGTTTTTCCTTTTATTCCTGTCCCAGGTTCAGTGGCCAGTAAAATCCCGGTCAANTGTTCTTGTGTATAGGAGCCCCTGGTGCTTTTCTCCGGTTCACCGTTGTGCCGGTGTGCTTATATAGAGCAGTTCTTCCAGGTTTGTCTGACTCCATGTATAATGCAGGGGGACCGGAAAAGCAGTTCTGCCCGTTTTTCCTTTTATTCCTGTCCCAGGTTCAGTGGCCAGTAAAATCCCGGTCAAAGTGACGTGTCTTATTCCTCCCCAGGAAAGAGCACTGGGATGAAGGGGGCCAGGAAGGGAAGGAAGCCCTCTCGGATTTCTAACGCAACTTGATGTTTAGCCTCTGAGCTCTTTCATTTAAGTGGAGCTGCTGCCAATGCAACTTAATAACTGGACAAACTTTTTTCCCACTCCACTTTCTAGACGTAACATTTAGGGGGACATTCTTAAGAAAGAATATGCATTTAAGGGGTCCATGCTTCTCTTACTAGAGAGAACACCTCTGGAAGGTCTTGGGTTATTGGGGGTAACCACCTGCTTTTCTGAATTGGTGGTGTTACCGAATCAAACTTGAACATCCTGGGTGGTGGCAGGCAGGTAGACAGTTGGTCTGGGACCAGTTTCCTAAGAACACATGCACCCATGTAGACAACTGTCAATCTTCTGGTCATCTCTTACCTATCAGCTCTGGAAGACTCTGATGGAAGACAGGACTCTCCAGCAGGGGAACTGCCAAAGAGGGTCCACCAGCCAACAGGTATATTTTTTAAAAGCAATATTTTTAGAATCTTTGGTGGCTGCTTCCACCATGGTTTCCCCTAAGACAAATGAAATGTAAGTAAGAAACATTTGAATTACATTAACTATGGCTTTTCCCCCTCCATCACATAGGAAACATTTTACTCTACCCTTTTTTAGCCATAGTTGCTAAGAGCCTCTCTGCTGATGGTCTTTCTGCCATAGTATGTCCTAAAGTAAAGCTATGTACCTCATTCTAGGAATAACAAGTACCCTACCCTGACAGCTGATGGCTGTTTTATAACCACAACCATGTTAAACAGGTTTGACTTCAGTTTTCTTTCTCTTTACAGAATCTGAGCCAGTCACCATAAATATCCGAGACCTACTTTCCTGTTCTAATTTTGCAGTGCAACACAGATATCTGTTTGAAGAAGACAATCTTGCACGGTCTACACAAAAAGTTTTCCATTCGACAAAATCCTCAGGTAATTCCAAGTAAAATATTACTATAAGTAGCTGGCTATCAGCCTCTCAACTTGCCAACAAACTCAGCTTAAGGGAGGACAGGAAAGGAGCAAGTAGGCGGAAGGTGGGGTGGGGAATAGAAGAACTAAAGAAAAGAGAACTAAAAAAATAAACTAGAAGAAACTGCAGTAGCCTTCCCTCAGTCCACAATAAAGGCCACTTCAGCAGTGGATGCATATACAGCTCTTTCCTGATATCTACTGGATCTGGCTGCATGGAAAAAGTTGAACATTGCTTTCATTATGGTTTCCTCCATGTGCTGATTCAGTCCTATCACTATGTGTCTGGGAAGTCTGGTGGGTTATAGAGGTGAACACTTTCCATCTGCTTTCTTAGGAAGTCCTTTGGAAGAAAAACAGGATCAATGCAAATGTGAAAACCTTATAATGTTCCAGAACCTTGCAAATGAAGAAGTAAGAAAATTAACACAGCGCTATATCCTTTTCTAATGTTATGCCTCTGTATGAAATGCAAAGAACACTATCAAAACCTCAAACATTTCTATATATGGGTATATATCAAATGAAGTCACTTCTATAAAGTCAAGAATAGTGAACTCCAGGAAAGGCTATTTCTTAAGCAGTCTGACAGGTGCTTGACAGCCGAGGGCAAGCCAAACTGCTGGCACGGGTCAAGCTATCTGTGGTTGGTTCTAGGAGGCTGAGCAGTAAGGCCAGTTAGCCAGTCAGTATGCAGAGTAAAGAAAAAACATGTTTACTTAATTCCCTCTCTGCTGGGAGGAAATGAAAGATAAATCTGAAGTGCATCAAAGATACAGTACATGTAGGCAAAGATAGAGATACAGATCTGAAGTGCATCAGAGATACAGTACATGTAGGCAAAGAATGCTGTAGAATGAAGAGGTTTCAAATTCTACCTAAATTCCAAAGCTCTCCTTTGGCCCCAAGCCACCCTGCAGCCACATTTGGTCAGTATATAGTTTCTAGAGGACTGGAGTTGGGATTTTTTCATTTGGCAGCAGAGAGATTTTATATCAGCACTCTAAGATGAGACATTCTACCAAGGGAACAGCAGGATCCAATGATTCATTAAAATAGTATTACAAATAAAAGGAATGCTTTGGGATGGAGAAATGAGATTCAGTGCTTTTATGCACTGAACACTCTGCCAACTAGTTTGAACTTAAAACTGTAGTAAGCCTACTAAAACTGCCTGATCTAGCTGAACACATATCAACTAGACTAAAGGGAAATGGTTTAATTCTGAACTATTTCTGTGCCAGTGGCTTATAAAGAATAGCATATAGCCATTTTCTTCACAAAAACTGGAAATATGCTTCATAAAGGAAAGCAAAATAATCTGACTGTGGTTAATCTAGATGATGAATCCAGGCTCTCATTCTGCCATGCAGGGGGGCAGGTGGAGGGTACTAAGAAGCTTCAAAAAGGAAGACAAATGTTTATTCTAATGCTGTTCTTATTGTTTAGTTGCTAAGTTGTGTCCAACTCCTTGCGACCCCATGGACTGTAGCCTGCTAGGCTCCTCTGTCCACAGGATTTCCCAGGCAAGAATACTGGAGTGGGTTGCCATCTCCTTCTCCAGGGCATCTTCCCGACTCAGGGATTAAACTCCTGTCTCCTGCACGAGCAGGTGGATTCTTTACCGCTGCGCCACCAGGGGCACCCTAATGAGCCCCTGGTCTGCCTTTTCCCAGCCCGCCTCTGAGGGTTTACTTCACAAGGTACTAAGGAAGTTATATGCGCCAGATGTCCTCAAGGCTGGTACCTTATGGTCTCATATGGCCTCATGGGTGAAAACTCCCCATCTTCTCTTCTGATGTCGTATCTTACTTTCCAAGACCTGATCCTTTTTTTTTTCTCCTCTCCTCATTCCCAGCATCATCAGTTCAGCTCCCAGAGGCATGCTATGGTAAATTAATTTATAAGCAACAGGGGAGTGAGCAGAACTAAAATTTTTAAAAAGAAAAATTTGAACTATATGGATTTAATGTTAAAGAAAAAAAAGCATTTAACCCAACATAGATCTATAGTCTTAATAGTATGTACTAATGGGTTACTATAAACTTTTAAGTCAGAATTACAGAAATGGAAAAAACAAAAGCCTTGTATTTTGCAGGACACAAATTCTTTTGTAGATAAATCAAGTTGTATTTGAATGTAAATAGGCCATTCAGATTCCTCTTCCTTAATTTGAGATTTACTAGAAGAAATGACACAGAGAATGGAAGCCCTGGAAAATCGCCTGCGATACAGATGAAGATTCAAAATGCTCTATGTATTTGTACATCATTGTATCAAGGATTACAGTGAAAACAGTTCAGAGCCCCCAAAGCTCAGGCTATCATTAATTCCGTAAGGTTGTAAAGTAAAACAACAAGAGTTGAGAAAGCTGGTTTGCTATAGAACAAAGGCAAAAAGTACACACTAACTTGTATAAATTCATTGAGAAAAGAAAAAACAACCTATCAGAATCCTAAAATGAGTTTTATAAAGTGAGAAGAAATAAGCTATGCAAGATACTCTGTAACATACTGTGGACACAATTTGCTTTGGTCTTGTTCTGCCTTAGTGTTACAATATCATTTGACAACAAAATAAAATCTGCACAGTCTTACAGACTTAACTTCCGTAGAACACTGGCCATGGGAAAGCTATTTTTTTTTTATCAGACTTTACCTTGATATATGTATATGGATGTATGCATAAAATCATAGAACATATGTACTTGTATAAGAAGTTAGATTTTTTATACAATATTAAAATTCACTTCAGAGAACAGTATTCTGTGTAAAATTCTTAATCTTAAATGCAAGATATGTATACATGAGAAAAGGCTGAGATACATAAGGAAAAAAAAATGTTGAATCTCACTGATAATCAGGAAACTGCAAGTTAAAGCAATCAACTTGGCAAAAGTTAGTGTCTGACTACAGTGTTGGTAAGGCTGAGGAAACACGGGGCTCTCACACACTGCTAGTGAGAACACAGATGGGCCGTCCCTGGAGAATAACCCGTCCCTACCTAGTGAAACTGAAACTGCAGCCCTACCCTGTATTCCAGCAACTGCACTTACAGGTATCTAACTCGATGATTTTAGCACATACATAGGAGGAGGCCTGTATGAGAATGTTACTAGAGTTTGCAAAAGTAACAAATTACAAATAACCTAATCACCACCAGAGGGGGAACAGATAAACTGTGGTATGATCCATACCTCAGAAATACTATGCAACATTTAAAAGAAAGTACTCAATCTACATGCACATGGTAAAACTTGAAAACAAAGATAAATTTTAAAAGCCAATGGGAGGACTTCCCTGGTGCTCCAGTGGTGAAGAATCTGCCTGCCAATGCAGGGGACGTGGGTTCAACCCCTGGTCCGGGAAGATCCCACATGCCTTGGAACAACTAAGCAAAATGTGCCACAACTACTGAGCCTGTGCTCTAGGGCCACAGAGCCGCCAACTACGGGGCCCACAGGCAGCAACTGCGTAAGCCCAAGCGCCAAGAGCCCGTGCCCCGCGACGAGAGCCACTGCAGAGAAGCCCGAGCACTGAAACTGCAGAAAGCCCAGCAACGAAGACCCAGCGCAGCCAAAAACCACCATAATGATAAGTAAATTAAAAAACAAAAACCCTCCCAAAGGGCAGTGGAGCAGAGTAGGAAGACCATCTCCTAGGCTTCAATCTTATCTGGAAACCATCTAGTTCTTTCCAAGTATAAAAGTTGTGATTCAAAGTATTACACCTTCAGTTTACATTTATATTTGAGTCTTCCATGTGATCCTGAAAACGGGTTTTCATCCAAAGTGTGGATTTGGGTTGGCACTACCTTTTGAGATCTAATCCTAGCTTAGCCGTTACTTCCAGCTGTCTCCAGTCTACTTTGCGTTGAGTCCTGGCTCCCTCTAGTGGCTCTAGACGGCGTGCACACAAACACACTTCACTGCTCCCCTTACCCACCCCCACATCCGCTTTAGCTGTTTAGGACATTTCATTGTGCTGTTTTCAACTTTCTGCAACTTGGGAAGGAAGGTGCCTTCGTGGCAGACAAAACCTCCAACTAATCCGTCAAGTTCACATAGTAACCCAAGATATTTAACTTGAGAACTGTCTAAAATTTAAAATAGTTTCCGGACTTCCCTAGCGGTACAGTGAGTAAGAATCCGCCTGCCAGTGCAGGGGACACCGGCTCGATCCCTGGATCCCTGGACCGGGAAGATTCCAGAAGCCGTGGAGCAAGTGAAGCCTGTGCACCACAACTCCTGAAGCCTGTGTGCTAGAGCCTGTGTTTCACAAGAGAAGCCACTGCAATGCAGCAAGAAAGATTGGCCAACATTCACTGCAACTAGAGAAAGCCCGCACACAGCAAAGAAAACCTAGTGTGACCAGAAAGAAAAAAAATAAAGTTGTCCATTTCTCGTTTGCTCTCTATATATCTCAGGTATAAAGGTTTTGCTTTCCACGTTCACTCTTTGTGTGACCATTCCTCATCTAATAGTAGTAACTCGGGGCTCTAATCAAGACGGTGGAGTAGAAGGACGTGGAAAGCATATCCTCCCACAAATACATCAAAAACACTGACGTACACAACAGTTCTCACAGAAGACCTACTAAACACTAGCAGAAGACCTCAGCCACCTGAAAGGAAAAGATCTCCACATAACCCTGGGTGGGACGAAAGAAAAAGAA